TAGTAAGTGGTAGAGCCCCACTTTAATCTATCTTCTGACTTCCCATGGACACCCTCAAGCCTAGGAGGGAACATACTAAGCAACAAAGAACATGTTCAGTATGAAAGAAATTCATTGTATCTGTTCCAGACCTAAGCACAAGGGACAACGCAGGGACCAAATCCAATTTGGACTCTTAGGAAAAAAAGGTTCTCACTCAAGTTCAGCCTATCTTTTTGGGGTTCTGGCCATGATGGGCTTGGCTCAGTGTCAAGCCTGAGCATACTGGGATTTAAGTTTTTGTGTTTTTTTTTTAAATTATCACCATGGAAACAAACCAAGACTTTGGAAACAGCTTCACGATTTTTATCATAATTGCTAGAAATTGAAGAATGGCTAATGCAGTTAACCCTTTGCCCTTTAAACAAATCATCTTGACTATGCTATGAAATGTCAGTGACTCAATGAAAGATGTCCCATTCTCTACACTTTCCCCTTCTAAACCTACTAATTCATTCTTTAAAACTTAGCCCAGGGGATGCCTGGATGGCTCAGTTGGTTGAGCATCCATCTCTTGGCTTTGGTTCAGGTCCTAATCTCAAGCTCCACACTCAGAGCATAGTCAGCCTAAGATTCTCTCTCTCTCCCTCTGCTCCTTCCCCTCTCATGTGTGCACGTGTCCTTTCTCTCTCTCAAATAAAATCTTAAAAAACAAAAATCCTAGCTCAAGCTCAAATGTCATCCCTTCCATAAGCTTTCATAGCTCCTTCTAGCAATTAGTCAAGTCATTCCTCCAAGCTGACACAGCACATGATGATTTGTTTGTAAGTATTCATCCTGATTGACTCTTTATGGTGGACAGTGTGATAATACCAACTACACAGATCTCCCTGTAAGAGAGAAGGATCTGTAGTCCCAGCTGGTGCAAAGTACTACCAAAAAGATAACCCTCAGCTACTGATCCTTTTCAGAACTGCCTCCACTGAAAAGCTGCCTTACTCAGTGTCATATCCTCTTCCAAGGATAGCCCACATGCAAAATGAGGCCCCTTCACTCCCACTTAAGCGAATTTTTTTTTTTAAAGATTTTATTTATTTATTTGACAGACAGAGATCACAAGTAGGCAGAGAGAGAGGGGGAAGCAGGCTCCCCGCCAAGCAGAGAGACCGATGTGGGGCTCAATCCCAATGAAAAATTCTACCAAGAGTCTTCCTTTCATGGCATCCTTTTGTTCTGAGAATTCATCACACTTGATTTTAAGTAAGAAGTTACTTCTAAAATAACTTGATCAGAGGCACCTAGTGGCTCAGTGGGTTAAAGCCTCTGCCTTCTGCTCAGGTCATGATCCCAGGGTCCTGGGATTGAGCCCCGCATCAGGCTCTCTGCTCCGCAGGAAGCCTGCTTCCTCCTCTCTCT